TCGTAGTTTCTAAAAAAGCATTTGTATAGTCCTTGGTCTTGAGGCATGAACGAATCAATGACCAACTCGCCTATAGTTTCTTTATTGGTCTGGCGAACTGTAGTGTTTACAGATAAAGGTCGGCCATCTTTGCTCCACTCGATCGTTGGAAGCGGTGATCCAGTAGCTGAACAGTTTAATTTGATGCGGCTCAGCATTTTGTACACGGTCACGTTATTAGGAGAGGATTGTACGATGACTGGAGCAACTAGAAATGTCATAATTATTGTCAAAGTCTTCAAGACAAGAATTCTATTAAGGTGGCATGAACCCCCCCCCCCCCCCCCACAAAAAAAGTCCCCCTCCCCCCTCCCCCGCCCAAAAAAAGCTACAATTTTAAAGTGGCTTAGTAACACTCACTAGGTCATGTGTTATTTATATATAATGCATGAAATTTGGCAGGAATAATTATTGATTTAAGGAATAAGAAACAGTTTTCCGTGGAGTGGTTTCCAGCTTCTCGAGTGCTTTTTAGTCGGACTAGCCGAAGGCGAGGTCCGACTTTAAAATTACCTTTTAGTCTATTTGCGGTCATGTCGCGTTTGGACCACCGGAAGTTAAGAATTTAATAATTAACTATTGGGTTGGCTGTGTTATTACATGACCGGAAGCTCAAACGTATTGATGTACGAATATCGTTAGTAAATATCATATGCTACTTGCGCTTTTATATGACAAAAAAACTATTCGTTTACAAATCTGGTATCTGTGATCTCATCGGAATGCATCAGTCTATGTATCATAAGTATGCGCATGTGCAGATCGCTTGGTGCTTCGAGTAGTATGCTTACGAAACTAAATCAATGGCCTTTCTAGCGTTAGGCAGTCCTGTGTGGGCAAAGATTTCAAATTAGAACAAGAAGAAACATTTTTTATCAATAACAAAAAGGCGAGTTTATGGTATCATTTATACTTTTGGGCCTGAGAGGTCAACGTTCACTTAGCATCACATAATATACATACCAACGTTTGATTTTATCAGTGAAAGCAAGGACTACTTTAAACGTTCATTGCTGGTATTAATTACATGACCTTTTAGGTCAAGTTTATTTTAGTCTCAAGAGAGTTTGGATATTTTGAACTAGACGCTCTTATTAGACCGTGAGTTCGGCTATTTTGGAGAAAAATTAAGAAATATATATTTTAATCTAATTTTTATCTTTTATGTAATATCCTGCTGTCTTTCTCAAGTTTCATTTACATTCTTAATATCATATGATTAGACAAAATATAACATCATAATCTTTTTACTCATGTTTATCAATTTTCAAAAATAGCTAGTCCGACTTCACGCCCCCAGGGGCGTCTAGTATCAGAGTATAATACACGAAAAACTGTTTTTTATTGCTTTTATCAGAGCGCGTGTAATGTGAAAGTTATTTTATAAACTGTACTAAAGCAATGAACCTCAAAGACCTTTACATTGTTACATTGTCCAGTAGACTTTTATCAAAGGACGTTGGCTAAAATTATCAACTTTTTGTTTGCTTATTTTTTCGTTTTATATAGATGCCAATTGCATAGCAGTTTTCTAAAGGTTCATTGCATAGCTTGAGATATTGGCAATAAATAGCGTTAGTTTGGATTGTGTATTTATTATAGTTTAAGAGCTAGAGATGTTACAGTGCCTTAAAATTATGTATTTTGGGTGTGACTTGCTTACCATAGCAGCAACAACTGCTAGAGATGGTATGAAATGATTTCGCTCAACAAGGTTAATGACAAGTGCAATAATAAAAAGCTAAATCTTTTTCCTTAAAATTATTGTTATCTACTTGGGGATCAAATCACCTTAGATTAA